ACTAAAAGTGCAATTTTCACTTGCGCGACGACCGTAACATTTTCCTGAGCATCGTTTTGGCAGTTGCATGTCAACTCCGTTGCCCATAATATCCTGTGGAGTTGGCTTGCGGTCGAGGGAAAATGGGGGGAAAGGAGGCGGAATATGGGCGGAGTTGGGTCGGCGGTAATTAAAGCCAGTCGAGAGGTGCCCCTGACAGATTCCGACGTGGGCGTTGTGGATATGAGAGGTTCGAACCGTCGAAATGGCGAGGGAAAAAGCAATAGAAAGGTAGCAATGGGGCTGGGAAATTCACAAGTAATAGCATTCACATAAAGAACAGTTTATGGCTTAGTTTATTTGTGTATTTATTAGCAGTACATCTATATATAAGCCTGGAAATAATTATAAACTATCATAAAATTAAATATAAATTACATCATGAAATTAAAAAGCTGTAAAATAAAGCTTAGGCGGAAGAAGAAATATATATAAAATTAGGAATTAAGGTCCTCTTTTTGTCTTTAATGCACTTTAAAATTTTTATGGTCTAAAGAAATATGTTAACTTGATATTTTATATAGTTGTCAGTATTTATACGGGGCTATTATATAAAGTAATTTTTACTCAGTTATTATCTAATGAAATAAAATAAAGTAAAATGAATTAATGGCAAATATTGTCATATTAACTCTTCGTGAAATACTCTAAATAGCTTAGTAGAACTTAAAACTTGAAAGTTTTTCCTATGCGTGAAATAACAGAATCATAGTACTAACTTCAGTGCCAAAACTAAATTATAGCCCACATATTTCACATTAAGGGCCCTTGCAATTACGATCCTAATCGCCAGCTGCGTTTCTTCACGGATCGTCCTTGAGATTCGATCCGATTCGGTCCACCCCCTTTTGGATAAACTGCTTCCATTCTATTTCTGAGAAATGTAGTGGCCCAACATCGTTTTTCCGATTAGTCGCGTCAATAGTGCCATAAACATAAATCTGCCGGTTAATATGCAGGAAGGTGGACCTAGACAACGTGACTACCAGTTGGCCAAAGTCAAAGCCCGGCAATTACGCAGCAAATTAAAATCAAATAACTTAGCATGAAAATCGAGCAAGCCATAAAAATCACATGCAAATTATAGAGTATCCAATAACCAGACCGGCAAGTGGCGGTAGCCGCGGCTCCTTGGTCGTCTGAGAAATTGTTGTAATTTGCGCCGCGGAGAGACCTGTCCCAGCATCGCTTTTAGCCAGAGGCGCTCCAATAAAGCCTTAAACAAATGAAGTTATTTGAGCCAATAAAAAATGGCAGCCACAAAATGATGGGGAGCCATCCCCAGGAGTATGTCAAGCGGAAAGGGAAAGTTGATCTTTTATATTCAGGCGCGGTTCACGTCTTTTGCTTGCCTTATTATTAGTTGACAACTTTTATTCAATATATATGTTTGATTATTTGAAGAAATAACCACAAAACTCTATTCTATTAGCCATAATTAACACTTATGTTGTATGTATAAATGTAGAGTAGTTACAATTAAAAATATATTAAATAACTGCAACTTTTAGTGCAATTAAATTAATTTGAGTTCCTAAAACCCAAACAATCTCCTCTATTATCTTATAGCACTGTACCCTTTTGAGGTCCAAAATCCGCACCTGTTAGCAATCACATCGATATGGTCGCAATCACAGGATTGAAGCTTTTGCAACTCCGCCAGCAAGTGCCATAAATATTGGACAACCAGCAACTTGTTCTCAGATCTCCGGTGTTCTGGGACCCTAAAGGGTTCGCAATCGGGTTCAAAATCTGGCTCCGGTCCGGCCCTTTCTTAATGCACACCTTGGCAGTGCTGCAACTCAGAGGCAATTTGTTATTTACCAGGTAATTATATGGCATCTTCTCGTTGCCGTTTGGCTTATTTAGAGCTTTATTTATTAAAGCATTTAATGTAAAATTGTTTGCCCAGGCCAGGGGCCATCATTAAACAAAGTAAATTGTGTGTATAAATCAATATTGGGATGCGGCTAATTAATATCAATGTTGATTTTGTTGACTTACAAAAAAGAAACCAAAACATAAAACCCTGCAACACCCACGAAGATGGACCTTGTGAAATTGCTTTTACCGATCCAAAAAACTTGCATATTTTATGCACATAAAGTGGATCATAAAGTAATTAATGCACTAAAATGCGACATCATAATGCTTCAGGCCGAGGCAGCCATAAGAAATTTCTTTCGGCATTTCGTTGCAGCTTCGTGGGATGGCTGCACCACTGAAAAAAATAAGTTTCATAGCAAGATTTAAGGATTCAATAACAAAAAATATATTGTGTTCTTTCACCAAAACAGATTCTTTTCCCAAAAAAATATAAATATAAATAAAGCCATTTATCTAAAATAATAATTTAAAAAGTATACTTTACTAAAAAGATCAAAACTATGCTGAGAGCATATAATCGGAGTTTATATTTCTGTTTTATTATTTTAACTATTAGACTTGTAAAAAAACCTATAATATTATAGTGCATCAACGTCCGAAAATGAATTGATAAACTGTCGTATATTTTTATTAATGAAAAATGATTTTTCATTAATCATTGCATTTTTTAAGGCATTTGAACCGCTTTTTTGAACGTGTATAACCCATTACATTTTTTGGCTTAAATAAAATTACTTAAGTCCCATATAAACTGGACCGTATTTTTTGGGAATTGATTAATAAAATATTTTTTTTCAGTGAGTTAGCCAGAGAAACAACAAAGCTTTTGCAATCAATCTTGAGGCGGCGTTTTGCTGGGCGTGTTCTCTTTGCTCTGAGGTTGCACCTACGCTGGTTGCTGCAGTTGGGTGCAGCATTCAGTCTGGGATTAAGACCCTTTGCCACATTTCAGGATCCCCATCGTCTTCACATAATTACAGAGTATTTTCCTCTTTTTATACCCTTGCAGAGGGTATTATAATTTTGGTCAAAAGTGTGCAACGCAGTGAAGGAGGCATCTCCGACCCTATAAAGTATATATATTCTTGATCAGGATCACCTCCTGAGTTGATATAGCCATGTCCGTCTGTCCGTCTGTCCGTCTGTCCGTCTGTCTGTTTCTACGCAAACTAGTCTCTCAGTTTTAAAGCTATCGAGTTGAAACTTTGCACACACCCTTCTTTCCTTTGCACGCAGTATATAAGTCGGAACGGCCGGGATCGGCCGACTATATCCTATAGCTGCCATATAACTGATTGATCGGAAATGCCATAACTCTGCTGTTTGTTAAGTTAGGAAGTTGGGACTTTCTGTGGGTTCTATATTTGGCCAATCAATCCGACCTACCAAATTTCATAAGGATCGGCCGACTATATCTTATAGCTGCCATATAACTGATTGATCGGAAATGCCATAACTTTGGTGTTTGTAAAGTTAGGAAGTTGGGATTTTCTATGGGTTTTATTTTTGCCCAATCAATTCGACATATTAAATTTCATAAGGATCGGCCGACTATATCCTATAGCTGCCATATAACTGATTGATCGGAAATGCCATAACTCTGCTGTTTGTTAAGTTAGGAAGTTGGGACTTTCTGTGGGTTCTATATTTGGCCAATCAATCCGACGTACCAAATTTCATAAGGATCGGCCGACTATATCCTATAGCTGCTATATAACTGATTGATCGGAAATGTCATAACTTTGGTGTTTGTAAAGTTAGGAAGTTGGAATTTTCTATGGGTTTTATATTTGGCCAATCAATCCGACCTACCAAATTTCATAAGGATCGGCCGACTATATCTTATAGCTGCCATATAACTGATTGATCGGAAATGCCATAACTTTGGTGTTTGTAAAGTTAGGAAGTTGGGATTTTCTATGGGTTTTATTTTTGCCCAATCAATTCGACATATTAAATTTCATAAGGATCGGCCGACTATATCCTATAGCTGCCATATAACTGATTGATCGGAAATGAAATAACTTTGGTGTTTTTAAAGGTAGGAAGGTGGGATTTTTTATGAGTATTAAAAATGCATCATATGAATAATTTTGGAGAATATAATTTGCAGAATATTCTGCAAGGGTATTTCAACTTCGGCTCCGCCCGAAGTTAGCTTTCCTTTCTTGTTTTCGATATTTTTTGGCATGCGTAAAGATTCTCGAAACGGGAACTCTGTGGCCGGGGCTTTCTTTTTACCTTTTTGGCCCGGCTGACAGCGACTGACAGACAGCAATTGCCAAATAATAAATAATTAGTCGGGGCGGCTCAGATGGGCGTGGCAAAGTGACATGGCTTGCATTTTTCATGGCGTTAAATCAAATATCGGCTGGCCAAAAAAGTCCGCCAGCTAGAGAAAGCGGGTGCGACCCAAATTTCCGGAGATCGGGAATTATTAATTCCACAGAAAAATGTTAATTAAGATATTAAAGCAGATGAGTTAACTTAATATATTAATATTACTGTCAGGTTTTGACCTGAATAATGGTGCCCATTAAATTAACCATTTTATTTATTCAACTTGCTTTATTTCAATTAAATCTTTTTTATTTTAAGACATTTAGGTTAAATGTTGTATTGAGTTAATTAAATATTAATATATTTCACATATTACCATTATTTAGTTTAATTGTTTATAAATTAAACAGTTTGTTTTTCATCACACTATTCTAATCTATAATACTAGTCAAATGAGACCATATGCTAACACTTACATTTATATAAAATATGTATAAACATATGTTATATAATAGACTTATTATTATCTTTGTAATTAATTCTAAACAATTAAATATAATGACACAAATATTGGTATATTCTTATACATTTATTAAAACAATAAATAACATTATATTAACATAGCCATAAAAGAGCTGTTCAGCAGAACAGCTGAGAGCACCTGTTTGCATAATATTAACAGATCCATAAAAGAGCTGTTCAGCAAAACAGCTGAGAGCACCTGTTTGCGCGGGAAAAAAGCGAATGAGCTTGTGAAAAGCAAAAGCTGATAAGAAAAGCCACTTGTTGAACGAAAAATAAAGCTTTCCATCAGTTTACTTTCAGCTGCTGCACTTGACTTTACTCTTTGTCACTAAATAATATCCAAGATCAAAATGTCGACGATTGTGAGGAAACTTATCAGCACTGTAAATGCTGCCAAGCCTGTGGCTCCCTACAAGTAAGTAAAACTGAATATAAAACCCATATGCACACCTTCTAATTAATTGTTATTAATTGCTTATATAGTCAGGCTGTTGTGGCCGATCGCACTGTGTATGTGTCCGGGTGTCTGGGTCTCGATAAGGATACCATGCAGTTAGTTCCTGGAGGGCCAACGGAGCAGGCGGAAAAGGCCCTGGAAAATCTGGAGGCGATCCTCAAGGCAGCCGATTCCGGAGTGGACAAAGTGGTCAAGAACACAGTCTTCTTGAAGGATCTCAACGATTTCGGGGCCGTTAATGAGGTCTACAAGAAAGGTAAGTACAGTACTGATTCTATAAAAATAACACCTAATTTTCAAGTTAGTAAAGCATTGCTTAATTTAATTTGTTTTGTCTTAAACAGTGTGGCTCTAGAAATATCTTTAGGGAGCTAAGGAAAATGTTACTTTGGACTTGAAAAATAGAATATTTATCACTTTAATATGATTCTTCACGCATTAAAAACTATTATAAAATGTTGATTATATTTTCTTATAGCCGGCCGAAATTTTAGACGTTACATAGCATTATTTTTTAATTAAGCTTATATAGCAATACCTACTGTATACCGGCCTTTTGATCGGTGTCGCCTGATAAGGCAATCGGCATCGTTAGCCCCTTATCACTCTATTTATTGTTTACAGTAAACATTTTATGATAGCTATTTTTGTTGTGTTTTCAAAAAAAAACTATATGCTTTATGTTTGCTTATCTGCCGTTTCAGTGTTCAATAAGGAATTCCCGGCCCGCAGTTGTTTCCAGGTGGCCAAATTACCAATGGACGCTCTGGTAGAGATCGAGTGCATCGCCTTGACCGGATCTGTCGAAACCAAAACCGTGCAATAACAATCAAAACCCAGTAAGCTTTGAGAAAAATGTTTTCAATATATTTATGAAAAATTATTGAAAATAATATACAACCTGGCAAAAACTGTTGATCTTAAATTGCTATGTTAATTTTTGAAAAAATTTGTAAATGTTAATGTGTCATGAATTTATATTTACATACATATGTGTGTCAGTACAAAATAAAAAAAAAAATCCACCAGATTTTTATTATTTTTTATGGTTTTAAAATATTCTTTAAGAATTTATCATTACCTTTTTTTGATAACCAAATACTAATAAAATATTTAAATATTTTAATATTTTAACATGTATAAATTTAAAAAACGGTATGTTAGTAATTTCATCGTATTCTATAATCGAATAATTTTTGTATATTACCGAGCGATGAATGAGTAAAGGTGAACTCAGTAAAAAAAAGCACTGTAGCCAAATGAAGCCATAAAAACCAAGCAACATTTGTTGCCCGGCGTTATGTAAACATGCAGCGGCCAACCGGCAACCAGCAACCAGCAACTAGCAACATGCAACGTGCAACAGGCAACGGACAACACACTTTGCATTTAAACCTTATATAGTTTACAATTTAGCGTGCGGCAATTTATCTTTGTTGTTGCTGCCGCTGCTGTGCGCCTTTTGTATTATATTTCATCAAATGTTGCTGCATAAATCACTGGCAACAGCAATTGCAGCAACAGTTGCAAGAGCAGCATGTTGCTAACGGTAGCCCGCTTAGACAAAGCGTTTATTTCACATTCAAATTTAAAAGTTATTCATAATGCCGACGTGGAGTTGTTGTTGCAATTGCTTCATACACTGAAAAAAAATGTAGTTATATATTTTCGATTATATTTATTCAATCCAACTTAGAAATATAGTTTACTATTGATTTTAATGATCTTTGAAGACAGGTGGCATTAATAAATCCCATTTCTGACACCTTTTTGGATATGACAATAAGGAGTTTAACCATAAAATTATGGTTTGTGCATATTAAACCTTTTTTTTTTTAAAGAAACTAGTAATTTCCAAATCCGATTTGTTTTCTCTGTATGCTCCATATTGATGCGGCTGCCTTTCAGGCTCTTTTCGCCTTTTATGGACCCCGACTCCCGGACTCGTGTTTTGTCTAGCATTTGTTTTGATTTTTATTTAAATTTCAGTGAATTTGTCTGCACTCGGCTGCCTTTTGGATGATTTATTGTCCTTGTTGAAGCGAGTGCCTGGTGTGAATATGAGTGGTTGCGATGCGGCACGATTATATGGTGGCTATATGGTCGCGACTATTTCCCCAATTGTCGGTTCGGCTAACCATTCATTTTTCAGCAATTTTTTTTTTTTTGACATTGTTGCACCCGCAGCGTGCAACATCCATGATGATGTGCCCGTCGTGTAATTAATTCGCGGCGCATCAGCCGACAGTCGTGAATAAATGGTAATAAATACGCCTGATCCGACGACAAGGGACGAACACCTACGCAAAAAGGGAACTTGAAGTGCGGCTAATTAATTTCGACGCACGACAAATGAAGCCGAAAAGGGATCCTATCCTCCGCTCGAGCGGTGAAGTGAAAGTGCGCATAATTTACACGCACTGGCCTGCGCCAAAATTAAACGCATAATTCTGTTGTACATTTTTACCAATTTGCTTATCAGCCAAGGCAGTGGGCCGGGTCGCGTCTCGTTGGCCAATTAAGAAAGCCACATGCGGTAGCCAACGCTGGATATCAGTTTACATATGTTTTTCGGCCAAATGTAAGTTGTCATAATTAAAATATTATCCGAAAAGCGGAACCTTGCCGCAGGGTAATTAGTTGTTAAACTGCGCTTTCACTCGCTGACATTCAAAAAACATAATTAAGATATTTCATAAAAAAACATTCCTTTACAAATTTTGAGTAAGAATCCGAACTCATTATTTCAAAGTAAAAAAGTCTTCAATTTTAATACATTTACTTGAAAGTAAGTTAATAACAAATAAAAATATTGTACATATTCGACGCTTCTTAAAATGTATGCTCTATAATGTTCCCAATAAATTATTTTTTAGTTATGTTTTTCGGGTAAATCAATAAAAAATTATAATTTCTTTAAAAATGTTTGATAGTCATAAACAATTCGAATATTGCGCGATTTTAAAGTAATGCATACTTTTAGGGCTTCAATTATACAACACTGCCAATCACAAAAATATATCCGAAGTGTGCAGCACTGCAAGCTAGGGATGGGTATTAACTAACTTGCACAAAATTATTTCAATCTACATAAGATACGGATATTAAGATCACTTAAACATATATAAGATTGAACTTAAATATGATAATGAGAAAATTATATTGTGTACCTAATTATTATATATGGTATATTAAAAACAAGTACATGTTAATTATTGGATTTATTGTACTATCGGAACAAAGTAAAAAACATCGATAGGCATAACCATTCGCAGCGAAAAACAACAACACACCGACGACTATCGCCCATCCCTATTACGAATTACAATCAATATGCAATGCCAGTAAATGTAGAAAACAGCAACAAATCGAGCAAAATAATATCAGTTAAAGTATTAGTGCATTTGCACCAGTGAAACTATTTTTGGGAAAGCGATAATCGTGGGAAAAAACAGTGGAAAGCCGCTTGGAAAGACCAGGTACAAAAACATACACACACAAGCGCAGACATAGACACGCACACATGTAACCCGTCTTTTCCATGACAAAGTGAAATAGAAGAAACTGTAAAGAAAATAAAGCGAGCAACAAATTGAAAAATAAAAGTATTGAATCGCTACCGTCTGGCATTTAGATAGACCTATTTTGGATATGTATTTATCGGTCATCGGACGACCGTGCGAGTGAAACAACGGTTCTTGTATTAATTGCACCTATATGTATATACATAACAATTATATTGTCGCCGTGTGAGTTTTTTTTCTCCGTTTCTCTTACACGGAGAGATCGGCTGTGCCTGCGAATATATATCCCCGATTTCTGCAATATATGTGATATATGCAACAAAGGAAGTGGCGGCGCAGTACGACGATCGGGATTACCGCCCCCGCGAGCCCGGGATATTCGCAATTGCGAACTATTGCAAATAAAAATCGCCGCTTCCCCAAATAGACATACACACATTCGGACATATGGTTGTGTGTATATATATGTATAATCGCGCTTGACACCCTAACATTTTGCGTGGAATGTTTGCGTAAAAAAAGAAAACTTAACTCGGGAGCACCCTCCATGGATTATCTTATAAACAATCGATTGAAACTTTGGTCAAACTAACCCGTAATACCCTTTTGTATCTTATAGGATTACCGAAGAACGTGAGAATTGTGCTCTTTTCTTGTGGAACATTGTTTTCATCCGAAGAAAGCAGGCTCCGTCATCGGAAAAGTCGGAAAAGCACCTGCACCTGCAGCTCCCTGCTCCGGAGTCCGGACCGCCAATAAAGTGGAGGAGCAGTGCCGACGCTTGCAAAGCATGAATCTACGGGGAAATCCTCCCAAGAAGGAGGGCAAAATGCGCATTCGCGCTTTTCCGGTAAGAACCCAAAAATGAATACAGAAATACTCCGAAATACAAATTTAGTTGGATATATTAAACAGAATCGAATAATGATTTAAGCTGATTATTAACGAGCATTTTTAAAACCTACTATCTATAATAACTAAGACTCACCACGATGTAATTGTTCTTAACTAATTTAAAATGGTATTGGAATACATTATTGTTAAACTTATTTGATAAACGATCTTAACATAAACCAAAAATCGTTTTATTGCCTTAATTACTTAAAAGATTGTTGATCAAATTCATATGTACCTTATTACAATTAAAAAATAACACAAATATTTATTAAATAAGGAATTATAAAGTGAACAACACCTTTGTTCTTTATTCAAAAATTCCTGATAAAACTACATGCACTACACTTTGAAGTATGCATATTTACATACTGGTAAACACTCTAATTTCTCCATTGTGTAAACTATTTATGCAAGTTGGTTTGAATGTACGGGTTTAAAAGTAAGTTATTTGCCACTGATAACAAGCAACCATATTATACTTTGTAATCTATAGAGATTTTCGTGATACATGTCCATTTTCCTAATCGTATTTTGTAAAAGTATTAAATAACCAAACAAACATTAAAAAACCACTTCACTGGCTTTGCAGTTAATTATTTTGATAATAGATGTACGATGACAGTTTTTCAAAAAAAAATCTGTTGATCGCAGCGTGAACTTGCAAAATTTCCCGATAAGATAGTTGCAAAGTTTGCGCGTACTTTGCCCTAACGAGAGTTTCAAACCCCCAATAGTCGTTTATCCCGTTGATGTATTAAAAAATATTCTATAATATGTATGAGTGAGTTTTAACCTTAATTCGACCAAAATGTCAGGCGACAAGAAAAGCAAACCTAACAAAAGTAGAATAAATAAAAACATCAAAACACCCACCGGGGCTAGGGGAAGTTTCAAACACATTTTAGTTTTTAAGTTACAACGAATTCAATCGTAGTTTTCGAGAAATTATTGTTCCCCAACAGCACACACAAAAAGTCTGTAAACACCTGTATGTGGAGAGCAGGGTGAAGGGCGAGACCCGAAACGCGAGAAGAACTCTGGCCGGAGCACGGAGGAGGAGGAGGAGCAGCGGACGAGGAGGACCGCGCGGCGGATGTGGTATAGAAGCCGTCACCATTAAGTCGACAAACGAAAGTCGGTCCCGCAAGGCACCGGCCTCAGCAGCGGGCCATCTTCCAGCCCGTCGCCCTCTGGCGCTCAGCGAGGATCAGAGGAGCCATCACCGGAGCAGAACAAGTGAGCTGGACCAGCGTAGCCGACTCATGCACGGCCGCGATCCACGCCAGCAGCAGCCGGAGCCACTGAACAACCTGAACGCTAATGGCCGCTACCACAATCGCATGGTGGCCGGCTCCAACAACTTTAGTGCCTCAAATGTGGGCAATGTGGACAACAATGCAGCTTTCCGGATTGCCAGGCAACAGGCACGGAATATGAACATCAACGTGTCCAACGCCTCCTCGTCACAGCGCCAGCCCCAGATGTTAGCTGCTGTCCAGATGCGCACTTACCACATTTCCGGCGGAGCCGATCGAGTGCGGACGGAGATCAGAATTGTTCACGCGCCAACGTCTGCTCCTGCGCCGGTTCCCATGTCACCTCCAGTTCC